TGTCCCTTTGTGCTGTGGTGACACTGGGGTGTCCCCAACGTGTCCCCCCAGTGTCCCCAGCCCCAGTGCCCGCCGTGTCCCAGCTCCAGCCCCAGAGGACGGTCCCTTCCCTGCGGGTGACACCGTGTCCCGTCACACTCTGGTGACACCGGCGTGTCCCTAACATGTCCCCAGCCCCAGCCCCAGCAGGACGGTCCCTTCCCCGCGGGTGACACCGTGTCCCCCACACCGCGGTGGCACCCTGGGGACACCTCCACGAGCGTCCCCAGCGCTCCCGTGGCAGCCCCTTCGTGACGCCCCCTCTCCGGGGCGGGGTGGGGCGGGGTTGGGGTCACCCTGCCACCCTCCCCCCCTCAGCGCGATGTCACCGCTGTCGCTGTCGCTGTCCCCCCGGGCAGATCTTCCACTACGCCAAGGGCCAGCCCTACATCGATGACGTCGGGAGCTTCAAGGAGCGCATGGAATGGGTCGGGAACCCCCGGCGCAAGGATGGATCCATCGCCATCCACAGCCTGGAGCCCACCGACAACGGCACCTTCACCTGCGACGTCAAGAACCCCCCGGACATCGTGGGCAAGTCCTCGCAGGTCACTCTCTACGTCCTCGAGAAAGGTACGGGGCCAACGGGGTCCCCTCCCGGCCCCGCTGGCAGCGGGGGGACACGGTGACAATGTCCCCGCAGTGCCCACACTCTGCTAGAGGGTGACACGGTGCCACTGTCCCCTCCCCACTGCCGGGGGTGACCCGGTGCCACTGTCCCCTGCCCACTGCTGCGGGTGACACAGTGCCACTGACCCCTCAGTGCCCACACTCTGCCAGGGCTAACACGGTGCCACTGTCCCCTGCCCGCTACCGGGCGTGACACGGTGCCACTGTCCCCTGCCCGCTACCGGGCGTGACACGGTGCCGGTGTCCCCTCAGTGCCCACACTCTGCCGGGGGTGACACAGTGCCCCTTTCCCCGCAGTGCCCACCCTCTGCTAGAGGGTGACACGGTGCCAATGTCCCCTCCCAGCTGCCGGGGGTGACACGGTGCCAATGTCCCCTTCTCCACTGCCGGGGGGGTGACACGGTGCCCCTGTCCCCGCAGTGCCCACCCGCTACGGCGTCGTGCTGGGCTCGGTGATCGGCGGGGGGCTGCTCGTGGTGGCCGTGCTGGTGGCCCTGGGCTATGCCATCCGCTTCTGCTGGCTGCGGCGCCAGGCGGTCCTGCAGCGGCGCCTGAGGTGAGCCCCGACCCCCCCACACCCCCCAAAACTCGGGGGCAAACCCCGCACACACCCCCTGAACCGCTCTTTCCCCCTTTTCTTTTTTCCCCCTTCCCTCCCGAATTCCAGCGCCATGGAAAAGGGGAAGCTGCAGCGCTCGGGCAAAGACGGCTCCAAGCGCAGCCGCCAGGTGAGCGCCCGGGGGTCGGGGGGCGACCGGGGGGGACCCCCTGCTCCCTTTGGGGTGGGAGGTGAAGCCCCCCCCCGTGTCCCCGCAGGCCCCCGTGCTCTACGCCATGCTGGACCACGGCCGCGGCGCCAAGAAATCCAAGGGCGCGCCGGGAGATTCCCGCAAGGATAAGAAATAGCGGTTGGAGAAGGGCACCGAGGGTCCCCCCGGGGCGGGCGCCGGGGACCCCCGGAGACCCCCCCCC